ATTAATTTGAACAGAATGACATAGTCAAAGATTGTAAAAGATCCAAGGCTTTTCTGGTTAGTTCCATCTTATTTATCTATTTGTTTGTATAGTTATCACATTTTTGCATTTATGCTTAAAAATTATTTTTGATATAAAAAGCTCTGCATTGTGGATTAGTGTAATGACTTTCAACCTTATATTCTGTGTTATCCATTTATGTTTCATCTGCATTTGTTGGCAAGACTCTAATAAGCTTTAATACTTTCCTTGTGCCATTGATTGAAATGTGAAATTCAATAAAGCAGGTTTCTGTCTGGCATAGACTCTGTTTCTTATTCCTTAACAACTCTTTGCTAGTGTAGTTCAGTACTTGTGAAGTTGAGAAGTATTTAAAACTACCATTTCTAACAGTATGCAGCATTGTCCAAACTATTACACAAATAATTAAATAGTCCGCTTTTTATTTTTGGTCACAATCCAGTAAATTCAATGTAGAGTTATAGTTGGAAAATTCTTGTTGTTACAAAATGCTTTTATTTATGTCTAAGCTGCTGTGAGGAGCTCTAAAATTTTATCTTCACAAAGAGATAGTCAGTTTTTATCTTTCTAATGATAAAAGTTGTAAGTCAAATTCTAGTCTGAAAGAACCTCAGAGAAATGTGAGAGTTTAAGCAAGAGAAGAAAATGGAGTTATTCTATCAAACAAGTTGTGCTCAGAAAACAAATATTATTGCAGTTTCATTTCAGCTTCTTCTAGCTTGTGGTGTGGATCCTCCTTCTGTCCGAGTGTTTGCTACCTTTCCTCTACCATGCTTTTTCTGTTTGTGTGTGTTAATTAGCATAGCACAGAATGTTAGCCATAGCACACTCAGGAACAGGTTGCCACCTAATAACGATCAGCTACTGGGGAGAGCTGGGAAAGTAAGGAGTTCCAATTCCTGCTTACTTAAAGATCAGGGAAAGGAGGAAGACCATCTGTCATGCTGAGCAGTGAATGATGTGTCCTGCTCGAGAGAAGGAACTGCAGCAATGGAAACCTGGCTTTCTAAGAGCACATTTTGAACAGCAAAATGGATGGACGTGTTTGTCCTAGACTTTGCGGAGCACTAAATCTGTGGCATTGTTTGTTGTTGTTAAACCAAAAAAAAAAAAAAAAAAAAATCCAGCAGCAGAGCAAGTTTTCTTCTCAGCCACCTATTTAACAATTTCAGTTGTTCTTTCTATTTTTTAGCTAGCTGTCTCTGAGCAACTGTTTTTCTCCTTACAGGAGTATTTCTCACAGCCTGAATCCTACTGCTCTGCTACTATGTATTTGAAAGCTGCATAAGAGAAACAGCAGTGGTGCTGAAGATTGCTTTCATTGCTCTATGCTACATGTTCTGTCTTCTTGGATTAATGTACGTTTTACTTAAGATGTAAACTGCCAGAATGTGGCTTTAATTTACAAAAAATCACTCCCAGTAATAAGGTTTGCAAATGGAAGTAGGATTATAAACAGATTACAAGGCGAACAGAAAAGTTGAGGAACCAGTGTTGTAATTAAATTTGAAAGTCCTTAACAAGTTTCCTTCCTTAACATAATTCTCCTGATAGTTCCTTATAGAGCAGGCAGCTCACTTCTTTGTTTGCTGATGGAATTTTATAAAAAAGACTGAATAAGGTGCTGAAAGCACTGAGGAGAAAAAGGTGTTCTTAGTAAAGAATATATCTATTAATAGAAATAATCTTCAAAATACCACTAAACAATGCAGCGGTGCATGTTATCATGTTTTAAATCAATGAAAACTTGGATGCAGAATATTTCATTGGCCTAATAGAAACAAAGTGTCCTTTCTGCTGTTGCTATTGTTACTATTACTAGTTTTCTCTAAAACTCACTTTCAATATGGTTTAATTTCCAAGTATGTGTAGATTTTTTCACCATAAAGAGGGGGGAGTTACATTCTGTTCAAGATGATTCTACACTTTAATGTGCCAATATGTATGCACCAAACCCAATATTTAGTTTGGTGTAACTAAGAAGAGATCTAATAAGGTGTAGCCTTCAAAACAGGTTTAAGCTGTCATAACATTTTGTTGTCAAAGATGGTAAGATTAAAAAAAAAAATCTTCAATAGATTTATTTTTTTCTAACTGAAAAAGAGCTTTTAATTGCAATATGATTTAAGGGAGAACTGTAGGTCTCATTTCAACAATGTAATGATTCAGAGCTCAGATTAGATTAGGGAAATTGCTTGTGTTTTGGAAAGGGCATAGCCTAGCAAATTTGTGTGGCAGAGGCAAGGGCTAGCTAGTTCTCTCCTTTACACATATATTCTTTTGTCCAAAAAAAAAAAAAAAAAACCAAACCAAAAAACCCAAAACAAAACAAACAACATTTTATCAAGAGTAATGTACTCTCTTTATAATGGAGATGAGTTGCACCTGATGATATCATAGATGTCATTTCAGGATATTAAATTTGATCATAATGTCTGGGTCTATAGCTACTGGGGCTTTAGTTTCCATGATGCTATTTCCTTGTGGTCACTTAATCATATTTCAATGAGAAAATGCCATGCCTGTTGAGGTGAAACAGAGGAACACAAAATAAGTCAGACTAATTCAGCACTAAGTTTTTTTCCTAGCTAAGACTGTGAAATATACATAACACAGACTGTCTTATTCCATGGATTAAAAACCAATTCCCCTTCTTCTTATTGTTCCTCTCCTTTTTTTTTTTTTTTAATTTTCTAAATCAAATGCATGGACAAATACTTTGATGTGATGCATCATCTTCCTTAAGTCAATACTAAGCATAGATTTGGTCTCCTTGGTCTATCCACCTTCACTTTAGCTGCACTTTTCCCAGTTACCTATTCTTTCCTAGTTTAACGACTGTATGTTGCCAGTGGACTGCAATCTGCACTCTGCCATCCATTTTCCTGCTTAGTAATTTCCCTTGAAATTCTGCTTCTCAGTAAAGTTCTCCTGTAAGTAAAAAGCTGACTCAGCATGCATTAGCTGGGACTGCTGAGTATTCATTTATGGACATGTCCACAAGTTAACTGGCCTGTATTTGATAGAGCTCACTGCGAGAGGTTACTTGAGGGACAGTTTGGTGCTATGGCTAAGCTGATGTACTGGCAAACTGCTACCCTCGAGGGTGTTCCCTACTGCTTGGGTGAAGAGTGAGTAGGTTCAAGACTGCTCCTGTGATGGAAAAATGTTCTTTGATGGTTGTTATTTCTGCATGCAGAACCACTCGTAGTTGCACCTGCCAGTGACACACCCTGTGGCTGCATGGTCACTCAGTTCTACACTAGAAAAGCAGCAGGCATGCACAGGTGGAGACAAGGCAGACTAGAAGTGAGGCTGCTCTTTTTGGGAGTACTCAGCTTTGTCCATATTTCAAATGCCAAACTCTGACAATGAGTTAAAATAAGAATATAAGAAGAAACAGTTTGGCATAATTTTCTCAAACTCTTATAGGACTATGAAACAACAAGTCAGTCTTCAACAGAGGTACTGACTAAAGCTTTTGCACTTTTTCTAACCCTTCGTATACCTGCATGGGATTCTGAATCATGCCACATATCTATTGACTTCTGGTGAACAGAATTAAGAAGCTTATCTGGCTCTGATGGAAGATTGTTCTTACCGTTAGTCTCTTTCTTTAGGATCCATTCTGTCTTCAAGGATTATGTGTGCATATTCAGAGTTTTGCTGGCATGAAGAGTGATACTACTCAATGTAAATAGAAAGTTTGAAACTATTTAGAGAACATGATAAACAGGTGCAATGGTTTAACAAAATTTAGATCAAAATCACTGCAATAAATGACTATCTAGTGGAATAAGAAATTTTGGGTAAATGTTGCTTGCTTCTTAGAGTTAGGATTCAGTAATTACTTATGATAAGTTATTGGCATAAATTTAAATCTGACTCCCTGGATAATAAAAACTGATACAATACTTTTATACTGAAAAAAATATGTAAAACTTAAATGTGTGACATGGTAATGTGACACCTTCCTTTTAATTATTGTTTCCTGAGGCTAAGCTTGACTACTTTGAAGTGATGGAAAGTTCTGCTCTATTTATGCTTTGAAAGTTGAAAACTGGAACTTAGGCATTTCCTGGTGACTGCAGACTTACCCACTTTCATTGTGGTAGCAGAATTCCTTCTGGATAAAAAGCCAGCTTTGTGCTCAAAAGGAGTAAATCAACTTCTGTCATGATTTATCAAAAGAATGTAAATATACCAAATCTGTAGCAAGGAAATACAACGTGATGCAAAGAAAAGGAAATAACAAAGCTCAGTAAACCTGCCTGTAGTAGTACAATTACACTGTTGCATGTTGAATAAAAACAGATTTATACAGTACCTGTATGCTAGCCATGTAAACAGATTCACAGATAAATATGAGAAAAAATGTTCAGGCTTTTTTATTTTTTAAATGTTTTATTAGTAAATAAAGCAGCAAGAGCTAATTACATTGTACTGATGTTATGTTGCTGGTTGTGCTGACTGAGTAAAAAGGCAACATACATGCTTGAATAGTTCTTTTCACTACATGTTCAACAGCAAGTTAACATTTAACAGAGAGAGGGCAATAGGTTCCAGCATTAAAAAGTAAATTCTGTTTGAAATTAGTGTTTTAGTGAACATCTTGTGACCTTATGGAATAGTATTGACTGAGAACCCTGGAGACAGGGGAACGATGTATGAGAGAAGGATTATAACTCCAACTACGAGTGTTAGCAATGTCATCCTTTTTGTGTCAGATTTTTCAAGGTAAAAGATTTGTATCAGAAAATACTGAGAGAAGACTATGCTTCTGCAGGCTTGTTATTTGTCATATTAAATTTGCCATAATCAAGTTTGACAAGCTTCTCTTTTATTTTTTCCAGCAGACAATATTATTGTTGAAGATTAGTCAGATGCCTTCCGTCCATTCCCTGCCTCACATGCTATGCCATGCAAGCTTTCAAACACTTAGCACATCATTTAAATGAATGACTAATTTGGCAAGCATAATGGAAGGCACGCATACTATCCTTCAATTGCACAAGCCAATTATGGAGCTTTGTTACGTCAGCTTCTATCTTCCAGAGGGAAAAGTCAGAGGATTTACTTACAAGGGCTGTGTAACTCTGGATAGAACCAGTAGACGCTTCTGTCGCTGCTATCAAGTAAGGGAGAGGTTAGAGATGGAGCTGAGAGAACAGCCATATGAAAACTTTGGAGATATTCTTTTCAAGCAAACTACCACAAAAGACATTCTTATTGAACTGTACAAACTAACTACTGAAAAGGAAAAACTATTATCCAGTCGTCTGAGATCGCATCATATTCTGGGCCTTAACACAGGACATCAGGAGGGAAAGCAACAGGATGTTTCTGGAGTCCTTAAAGTTGATGATTACTCCAGTTTTA